CACCTCCCATCTGTGGTCAGCTGCTGAGTGTTTTAACTGTTTAGCGCCACCTAGAACTCCCAGGAAGGGCTGAAGGTTTCTTTAGAGTGTGATTCTAAATGTTTGGGCAAATGTTCTAAAATTGATCGTGGTGAAGATTACACAACCCTATGCATATAGTCTTTACAACGTCCGGAGCGTGTGTTCCACAGGCCAGCCTTCACTACGCATTCCGTTTCCTTTCCCCGACAGGATAACATGAGCAGACACTTGGAGCAGTGCAACCCCCAGCTTGGAAAGGCCGTGGCCTCCGGGAAAGGGAGACGAACAAGAAAGAAGGAGCAGACGGGCCGCACAGAGGCAGAGAAGGAAGCCGGTACCTCTTTTATGAATTCTTTTTCCACGTGGCTATGTTTTTCTCTCATTGTGAGTTTCCCTGGGTCTTAAGTCAGAGCCACCTGCAGGGGACGCATTCAAAAACGTCCTGGGAGGCAGGCCATCGGATTATTGATCAAGTGGGGACAGTTACTGAACCACTGCTCAGAGCAGTGTGGCGATGAAGGGACAACTGACCTGCAGGTGGAGGCTGTACTGGCCACACGCCTGCTGCCAGCTCATTGTGACCCACGTTTGCACCTGGCGTCCACTCTGCAAGCTCTCCCGTCGGCTGGTGGAGTGGAGCCGCTGGGCGTCACAGGCCTCAGCCCCTGGGCCCTGGGAGCAGCCACCAGTACCCAGCTCAGTGACCACTGGGTCTCCTCCACCAGATTCTAAGAGGGGCCCGGGTAACCAAACCTGACTCTGACAACCCCACGTGACAGACTAGAAGTCTTCTGTAGGGGTTTCTCACCTGTCATGTTTCTAGACCTTTCTGCAGCTGGGTGGGTTTGAACTGCCAACCTGTAGGTTACCTCCACCCAAGGACTTGGAAAGAGAAGGCCCACCTAGCTCCGGTGCCAGAGCTGTTTGTTCCCCCTTCCTGTCCTCCAATAACAGAGAACTAGAGAGCCTGACTGGACACCAGACAGCCTCACAACAAGCATAAGAGGCCATGATGGGGAGCAGCCTGAGTCTTTGCTGTCACCCTAAAAGTGGATTCCAGACCAATCCTTGACTGTGTGTGTTCCCAGCCTTTTTCACTCCTCCCAGAGCGGCCAAATGAAACCGAAGACACCCAGTTCAACTCGATGACAGCCAGTGGGTGGTTGTTTAACATTTAGCATACAACATTGATAGTATTTGGTGATTAGAATGTGAAAAGTTTGAAACAAAACATAAGGATTGGTAGTTGGTAAGTATGGTCACTGTACCAAAAAGAATTTGGTCGATGTTCAACCATTTCAAGAGATAGTATATGATCAAGAACCAGTGGTACTGAAGGAGGAAGTCCAAACTGCACTGAAGGCAGTGGGGAGAAACAAAGCTCCAGGAATTGACAGACTTCCAACTGAAATGTATCAGACTGATGCACCATGGGAAGCGCTCTCTAGTTAATGCCTAGAAATGGTGGCCAGCTAATGGGGAGAGAGCTAGATTTATGTCTGTTCCAAAGAAAAGTGATTCTACAGAACCTGGAACTTATCAGGCAATGTCATTAATACCACATGCAAGGAAAATTTTGATGAAGATTCAGAAGTGGACATGGAACCAGGGATGTCATTGCTGATATCAGATGGATCCTGGCTGAAAAGCAGACAATACCAGAAAGATGTTTACTTGTGTTTTAATGACTATACCAAGTTATTTGACTGTGTGGATAATAACAAACTCTGTGGCGCTGTAGGGTAAGCATTGGACTGTGAACCGCAAGGTCGGCAGTTCAAACCCACCAGCCGCTCTTCAGAATCCCAAGTCGGAACCGACTTGGCAGCAGATAACAACAACATGGATAGCATTGCGAAGAATGAGAATTTAGTTGTGCTCATGTGGAACCTATACTAGGCAGCCATTCGGAAAGAACAAGGGAACACTGTTGTTGTTGAGAGCCATCGAGTCGATTCCGACCTATAGCGACCCCGTATAAGGTTTCCAAGAAGCAGCTGGTGAGCTTGAACCACCGACCTTGCAGTTCAAATGACTTTGCAGTCTGACGCATTAGCCCACAGCGCCACACCAAGTAGTTTAAAATCAGGAAAGGTGTGTGTCAGGGTTGTATTCTTTCATCATACTTATTCAGTCTGTATGCTGAGCAAATAATCTGTATGCTGAGCACATAATCTATGAAGAAAAACGTGGCATCAGAATCAGAGTAAGACTCATTAACACCTTCAATATGCAGGTGACACAATCTTGCTTGCTGAAAAAAAGAAGAGGACTTGGATAACTTGCTAATGAAGATGAAAGACTTCAGCCTTCAGTATAGTTTACATCTTAATGTAAAGAAAACATAAATCCTCACAGCAGGGCCAATAAACAACATCTTGATAAATGGAGAACGTATTGAAGTTGCCAAGAATTTCATTTTACTTGGATCCACCATCAATGCTCATGGAAGCAGCAGTCAAGATATCAAACAATGTATTACAATGGGCAACTCAGCTGCAAAAGATCCCTTTAAAGTGTTAGAGAGCAGAGATATCACTTTGAGGACTAAGGTGTGCCTTACCCAAGCTGTGGTATACTCTGTCACCTCATCTGCATATAAAAGTTGGGCAGTGTATAGGAAGATGGAAGAAAAATGTATACCTTTAGATATGGTGTTGTTGTTGTTAAGTGCCGTCGAGTCGGTTCCGACCCATAGCGACCCCTGTACAGGGTTTCCGAGGCTGTAAATCTTTACGAGAGCAGAACGCCTCATCTTTCTCCCGCGGAACAGCTGGTAGTTTCAAACTGCTGACCTTAAGGTTCGCAGCCCGATTCGTAACCACTACGCTGCCGGAGCTCCTATGGTGTGGTTGGAAAATATTGAAAGTGCCATGGACTGCCAGAAAAACAAGCAAATCTGTCTTGGAAGATGTACAGCCAGAATGTTCCTTAGAAGCCAGGGCGATGAGACTTAACCTTACTTACTTGGGACACGTTATCAGGAAGGTCCAATCCCTGGAGAAGGACATCATGCTTTGATCAGCAAAACACAGGAAGACCCTCAATGAGATGGACTGACACAGTGGGCTGGCAAAGGACTGGGTGTTGTTTTGTTTTGTTGTACATGGGGTCGCTATGAGTAGGAACCAACTCTGTGGCACCTAACAACACTAGGTTGTTGTTAAGTGCCATCGAGTCAGTTCTGACTCGTAGCGACCCTGTATAAGGTTTCCAAGGAGCAGCTGGTAAATTTAAACCATCGACCCTGTGTTACAAACTGGCTTTGCTACCCAGTGCTTTATCCCACAGTGCGACAACAGCTTTGTACAATAATATCCCATGCATTCTTTGGGACGTATTTATACTAAAAACAATTTGCCCTGTATCTGACACTCATGCCTAAACCAGTCCTGCGGCCCCCTCCTCTTTGTCAGTAAATTCCAGGGTCCCTTGATCCGTGATTCTGTCAGCAACCTCTCCTGTGTGCCTTCCTCCACAGCCTATGCCATGCAGCCAGGCCTGTGGACCACTTCCTGTAGAACTTTCTAGAAGCATGCTTACTGCCCAGTTCCTGGGTACTTTTCTTTCCTCCTTCCTGAGAGCTCTTTCAGGACCTACCAAGCTCCGGTCTACAGTCAGACTAAGAAGAGACTTCATCTCATGAACTTTGGACATTTCACCGGGAAGGACAAGTTTCTGGAAAAGGCATCATGCTTGGTCAGTGAAAAAGAAGACCGTCAGTGAGATGGACTGGCGCCGTGGCCATAACCTTGGGCTGAAATACAGGCACAGTGGTGAAGATGGCACGGGGCTGGGCAGTGTTTCATTTGATTGTGCACAGTGTCGTTATGAGTCAGAACTGAATTCAAGCACCTCCCAACAACAACCAAATCTTTAAGAAAAGCTGTTTTCTCCTGCCAAGCAGTAGTGGGTTCAAACCGATGACCACTCAGCAACCAGTTAACCATTGCAACACCAGGGCTCCTTTCAGAATATTTGCAATGTCCTTTAAATCAAAAGGTAATTTCCTTAAATGCTTGTTTAAAATAGGAACCCCAGTGATTCAAAAACTCTACTGCTAACTAAAAGGTTGGTAGTTCGAACCCACCCATGGCTCTGTGGAAGGAAAGACCAGGTGGTCTGTTTCTGTAAAGATGACGGTCATCCCATCGAATTGCCCTAACTTGCCATTAACCTAACGGCCGCAGGTTAGATTCTGGTTGGATGTTTAAAATTGAATAACTTTCCAAAGGGTATTCTCACACAGCTGACTGTTTCTGCTTTCTTGGTTTTGCTCTCAGCCGGGTCCCTTCCCCCAGAAGCAACCGCTGAGCAGTACCTGCCCGAGGAAGTGTCTGAAGTGAGAGGCCAGCCATCCCCAGGAGGGATCTTCCCTGTCGCCTGTGGAGGAGGCAAGGAGCCCGGAGTCCCAGAGGGATCCGACCTGTGAGATGCGCCTCACACTGGTGGCCAGGCCTGTCCATTCTGAAAGCACCTTTGCACGGTTCTGCATTGTCTCTGAATTCAGTTCATGGCGACCCATGGTCCCAATCATTCCCAAGTTTGATGTAGTCCCTAGAATTAATTGTTTACCTTTTTTCTGACTAGATAGTTCGACAGCTTAAATCTTAACCAGAGGGTAGCGCCTCAGACCTATGAATTTCCTTGGTATTGGGAGGTGGCGTCCCATCAGTGATTGGGAGTCATAGTTATTTGAACAGTAGTCTAGAGTTGTGGCACCTAATAACAACCGTTTGTTGTTGTTGTTAAGTGCTGTCCTGGTGGTGTTAAGTGAAGCCCTGGTGGCATAGTGGGTTAAGCATTGGGCTGTCCACCAGGTTAGTGTCTCAAACCCCTTCTGCTTCTCTGGAGAAAGATGAGACTGTCTGCTCCCATGAAGATTTGCAGCCTCGGAGCCCCAGTGGAGAAGTTCTACTCTGTCCTGCAAGGTCCCTATGAGTCAGACTCGACTCCCCAGCAATGAATTTGGTTTGATTTGTTTATAGATAGGGTTGCAATGTCAACAGGTTAGATTTGGTTTGGGTTATATTAGAGACCAACTGAGTTCCCTGAGTTTATGCTTGCCTGCTAACCGAAAGGCTGGCAGTCCAAAGCCATCCGGTGGTGCTGCGGAAGAAGGACCTGGCAATCTACTTCCGTAAAAATGACAGCCTAGGAAACCCTGTCGGACAGTTCTACCCTGTAGCACCGGGGGTCGCCATGAGTCTTAGAATGGACTTCATGGTATCAGGCCAGATTTGGGGGGTTACAGACCCACTCCTCTGTGCTTCAGCAAAAAAGTTAAAGCTGGAAAAGTTTCTGTGGAATTGTCCGCACCCATGATATTTCAAATATTCTTTAAATCTAAAAGATGAATTTTTTCTATTTTTCTTTTATACAAATGAATTCTCTACACAGTTTTCAAGTATGATAATGCTTTTAATTAGTTCTAAATCCAGCCTAAAAGATTTTAAGCTTATAAATATTAAAACTGAGCCCAAAATGAAAAACTCTAGATTAGGCGAGAAAATAATGACCATTAATATTTTATTTCCACCTATGAATAAGGTCCGGTGTTAAACATTTGTCTTCTAATTTGTAATGTTGTTTAATTATCTTTTTTGGCAGAAATGAAATTCCCCCAAGTTATATTCTATCATTGCTTATTAGCAACTCAGTTTTTAGCCCTTCTCTTTGGCTAAAACTACTTTGTTACTATTATTGTTTTTAATAATTCCAAAAAGAGAAGAAACAGAAAGGTTTGATGATGAAAATGTTACCTTGTCAAAAATTTGGACTTTTTGATAGCACCTTGTAATTAATTAGTATTTCTGTTTTGTCGACCGAAGAGGTTTTCTGTCGTCTGGCTGCATGTGAGGAACCCTGGTAGCACAGTGGGAAAGCACTTTGGCTATTAACCCAAAGGTCATCAGTTCAAACCCACCAGCCACTCTTCAGGAGAAAGACATGGCGGTGTGCTTCTGTAAAGATGACGGCATTGGAGACCCTCTGGGGCCGTTCTCCTCTGGTCTACGGGGTCACTGTGAATAACTCCACAACTTACAAACAACAGCAATTTGTGAAATGTCTCCTTAGCACTTAACTGGTGGTGGCCAAGAGCCGTGGAGTCGGTTCTGACTCATAGCGACCCTGCATTGGGTTTCTGAGGCTGCAAATCTTTACAAGAGCAGAAAACCTCATCTTTCTCCCTCAGAACAGCTAGTATATTCGAACTGCTGGCTGTGAAGTTAGCAGCCCAACTCGTAACCACTATGCTACCAGAGGTCCCTTAACATTAACTAGCAACATCTTTATAACGAGCCAGACTTTTCTTTTTCTCTAAAATAAACAGATGCTTTTGATATCTTTGAACCTATAGGTTCCGATTCAAATTCCTCACATTTTGATGTTATACATATCCCCAGTTCAGAAATGTTCCAAGTTAACATTTGCAAGTTATTCCCCAGCAGCCATTGTGTGCATTTCTTTGCGAACCATCAGATCCATTGAGTTCATACAAAAAGACCCAAATTCTGTGTCTGTCGTCCGCTTTCATTACAGCTATGAATTTTGGTGATTGGTTCATGTTTTTCAACTGTTAAAGATGTTTCACATCGTTCAATAAAATGAAATGAGTTGGCATTGACTGTTCTTGGTGTGTGTGGATGATGACCCTAAAAAATGGCTTCTTTGCAGCCGAGCTGAGCGGGTTCTCTCTTCGCTGGCTAAATGAATGCTGACTTTAGGAACACATGCAAAGAAAATAGTTGCAAGTGTTTGGAAGCCTTAGGCAACATGTGTATCTTTTATTTCCTAATATTTTAACATTGAAAATGAGCACAAATGTGTCATTGACAGTCCAGCTTCTTACATTTTTGTTGTTGTGTTGTTTTTAAATTCAGAATATCAGAAACATAATTTAAAAATGAAAGCCCAGTTGGCATCTAAACCTCACCAGAAACTCTTCATAAACAGACTTTAGTAAGCAACTGGTGTTTCTGCATGTACAGCAAAATGCAGATGGTCACGTTGGTTCCGTTTTGAATCCAGGTTCCCATCAAACATCTGGGTAAAGTTCCTGCAGTGAACCTTCAGTGCCTCTGAGCCTGGATGGCATGAACCTAAAGGCTGATGGTCACATTGACCCAGCGGCTCCATGGAAGAAGGACCTGCTAATCTGCTTCTATCAAAATTACAGCCACATCCGCCTTAAGCATTATGTTCTTTTTTAAAAACCATCTAAGAACTCTCTGTGGGGTCAAATTGACAACAGTAACACTGTAGATTAGAGGGAAACCCAGGGTGGGCCGTGAGTATGTTTATGAGAACAGGACAACTCAGAAAGGCAGAATGCGAATGCTTGTAGACGTTTTTAAGAATGTCATCATTTCCACTGTGCACTGGTGTGAGATCTACTGTGTGTATTCCCAACAAGAACAAAATATTGTGTTAATTAAAAAAAAAGAAAGAAAGAAAGAAACAGTTACAACCAAGAAAGCCCTAGCAGCAGTTCTACTTCATAACAGGGGCTTGCCTGGAGTCGGAATGGGCGGGTGGGAGTAAAAACATACACAAGGCTCCCCACAAGAGGGCAGGCCAGCCTCTCTCTTCAGAGGGATGTTTTTAGCTATTTAAGAGTTTCTGTTAACAAGACAAAGTTATAGCAAAACCTGGACAATTTATTTTACGAAATTCATGCTGGGCAGAAGATAAATAAGAAGTAGTTAGTAACAGAAGGATGCTTTGCCCTGTGGCTGCTAAATTTAAGGGAGGGGTCTCAATACAACCTGAAAGTGAAGAAACGTTGTGGGGGTGTGCTCTGGGCTTCAGAGTGTTTGGTGAGTTACCTATCTTAGGAAAGCTTTAGCTTAAAATAGTTTTGAGATCTAGCAGGAAGTAATTCTGGAATGCGCACCTCTTGCACAATGTAACGTCTCTGTTTTAGGGAGGGAGGGTGTTTAAATGACAACAGTGTTTGACAACAGTTTTACTTTATAAAGGGTGCTTTTAAACAAACCCAAAGAGCTAGCTGATGCATGCTAACAGCCCGCTATTGTTTGAAATTAGTCACTGGAAAAATTTGGAAGCTACAAGGGGAGGGAAAGGGGGCTTATGAGACTGGAGCCGCTTATAGTATTGTGTTTGACTGTCTACCTTTTGAAGGTGGCAAGAATTTGTTCTCCACATGCTATTGCCAGGAAAAACGTTTTTTATTTGTTTGTTTTTCTGATAATCACTTACCAAACAGCCCCCTGTGAACGTACTTTTTTTAAAAAATAATTTTGTATATTGTAGTAGTGGCGTTAAGAACATACATACATACACACACACACACACACAAAAGAACATACACAACAGAACATATACCATTACCTCAGTGTCACATGGACAATTCAGTGACATTAATTCTTAGAATTCTGCAACCATTCCCACCCTCTGGTCTGAAACATCCCTTCTTCATTAACATAAACTCACTGCCCTGCAAGTTTCCAATTTGATCCATTATAGATGGAGTCCTGGTGTGGCACTGTCGGATAAGCACTGGACTGCTAACTAGGTCGGTTCAAATCCACCAGAAGCTCCTTGGAAACCCTATACAGGTTGCTGTGAGTTGGAACAGACTCGATGGAATTGAACAATAACAAGATAGCTCTTGAATTGTGTTCTTTCTAAGTCTCATTAACTGGCAGTCTCATTTATACTAAAACATGTTTCATTAGTGTTAGAACATTTGGATTATTTACTCAGCTATTTCAACATTTCCCATCCTTTTATTGCCATGTCTAGTGTGGCACAAGGTAGATTTGAACCACAAGGTCAACAGTTCAAACCCACCAGCCGCTCCTGGGAAACCTTACCCAGGATCGCTATGAGTGAGAATCAGCTAGATGGTACTTAATAACAACAAATGTCTGAGTGTATCCAGTACACCTGGTGGTGCGGTGGTTAAGCACTGCTTCTGTGAAGATTCCCAAACCAAAACCCATCACCTTGAGGTAATTGCAGCTCGTAGTTGAACTGCCCCATAGGATTTCCCAGCCTGTCATCTTTCCATGGCAGAGTGGCTAGTGGGATCACACCGCCCACATTTTAGTTAACAGCCCAGTGTTTTTGCCACTCATGGTACAACCAGGCTCCTTCCATAAAGCTCACAGCCTAGAAAACCGCCACCTGGCGTCACCGTGAGTCCGACTCAACGCCACGGCATTCAACAACAGCAGATACACACTGATTGTCAGTGGCAGCCTAGGTAACTTTTCTAAGGTGTGACTTCCGTTGTGAGCTGGCTTTCTACTTGGATCGCGTGCACAATGTAAGACTTCAAAAGCCATGGGTGCTCCCCTCACCCCTCATTCAATGCAGTTGGTGTACTGTGGGTGGGGGGGGGGGGCTCTCCTTATTGTTGAGGCAAAAAGTAAAGTCATGAATCTTAATTGGCAACAGAAGAAA